TTTCTCAAAAGCAAGATTAAAAGATTAAATATTTTTCAATCACAAATTTCAGCAACAGTTTTTAAATTATTTTTCATAACAATATTTCAAAAAATAATTTTTAACAGTTTCGCAATAGTGATATCTCAACATCAATATTTCGAAAAAAGAACTTTTCAACTATGGTGTCATAAAAAAAAAAATTAAAAAAAATAGGTTAACTATTTTTTAACAACTATATTTTTCAATAATTTTTTTCCCATTAATATTTCAACGACAATTTTTGAACAATAATGCTAATTATAACTTATAACTTTTATCGTATGGTTACAGATATTATTAATATTTTTTTTTTTATTTATATTTAATATTTTAAAATGCCACGTGAAACTTATCGAGACGCTGAAAATTTATATTGTAGTTTATTACAATAAATGTCATAGGTAAATTAATAAGTATATGGGTAAATTTTACGTAGGTTTCACTACTTTAAATTGTTGTTGAAATATTGACGCGGAAAGATTGTTTATAAAGATTGATTTTATAATCTATACTTCATTGAAAAGTTCTTTTTTTTTTTTTTTTTTGAAATATTGTAGTTGTGTATATTATTACTGGCGACGTGCGAAATGGCTGAACGAGTTTTGCTCGTTATAAGACACGTGCGAATTCCGGAGACAGTCGTGCAAATGTATGATAATCACGTGCTAAATGTTGGCATAGCAGTTTTTTTAATATAGTTAGATGTTCGAGTAGGGCGGTGTTGGAGAGACGTCAGCCGAATTTCATAACAGTGGTGTATAGTTGGTTAATGTGCGTTGAGGAGGGGACTCAGACGATTTAATCAGACAACGAAAAACCAAAATATCTAAACTAAAAATCCACGTATGAATAAATTATATGTAATAATAACAAGTGTACCTAAAAGTATATAATCATCTACCCATACTCACTTTGCACATAAAAAATTTCAATTATCATTCTTAATAAGTTGCATTAGTAAGAAATTTCTAACCCAAACGTCTATGTACAAGTCGGCAAACTACCCTCCTGATTATAGTGGTATATAATCAAATTCTTGAAAATTCTATTAAGGTGTATTCAACAGAATTTTTGAACACCCAGGAATTGGAAAATAATAATGAAACTTTTTAACAAAGTATACGGCATTTGGATTATTAAAATTTTATATTTAAAACACGAGAGCCGGGTAATTATAGCTGATACTATGTTTTAAATTTTAATACATTTATATGATAAATAATTTATTATATAATACAGCAGTATACACGGAATTTCACTAGAAACAACTGTGTACCTTATTAAAAGGTAATAAATTATTCAATTTAAATGATAGAGAGTTTTCAGTTTCAACAAAAGCTATCGATTGTTATTAAATGAAATAGATAAAAATAACCAAAACCATGTTTATAATTTAAAAATGTTATGAAACAACGCGATCGTTTAGTATTGTATGCATAGTAAAATAATATAATAATAAATAAACTATAATACTTAGTATATATACTAGTAAAATAAGTATTTTTTAATGAGTACTATAAAAATTATAAAGTCCTAGAATGGAAAAAAAATATTGATTTTTTATAATTATTATAAAAAAATTTTGCTCGTGAGAATCAATGTGGCAACTATAAAATTCGTTGGTGACGTGCCAAGAAAAAATTTTCAGCAAAAATAATATGAGTGCAATTTTATTTTGCAATTTATAATTTTTATATACCTATGTATATATTCGTATACCTACTATTATTTTATCAGTAAAAATACTAAAACAGGTAAGTAAAATTTGGCCCAATTATCGACCACTTAAATTTTATATTTACTTAAATCAGTTCGATATGAACTGACCGTCTTTATATGTAAATATAGTTTAGTGTCTTATATAGTGCTGTATAGGCTAAGGTAAATTAAATTATTTACTTTTGTTAGATAAGACACGTCATCGTAAAAAACGTAAGTTGTAAGTGAATACTTACATGGTTATAGTCTATATTATATATCTAGTTAATAAATAGTTTATATTTAACTCTAAAGCCTTGAAATTAGTTTATAACTTAAAAGTTAGAAATTAAAATGGAAAAAAATTTAATTGGTGTCAGTATCAAAAGCTGACAATTGTTAATAATATGTATTTCATGATGGTATTTATGTATTTTAAGATAGGTAAAAATAATATATTATAGTATTAATGCTGTGTATGCAATTTAAATTTAAATTACAAGCGTTGAAGTGTATCGAATGACAATTTTATACAATTATTTTAATTTTTAGACTTATAGAACGATATTGTATAGGTGTATCAGTTTTCAAAAATACATTTTTGATTAGACTATCCTCCCTCCCCTCCTCCCGAATTCTCGAGACGTTCAACGAGCAAATCTAACATAATAAATATATAATATTATAATAACACTGCTTTTGCACACCGTTTTGGAGTCAGAAATTCGATCAAAAAACGTAGGAAAGCATTCGAAATCGCATCAGACATACAAAAAAAAAAAAAAACTACATACGTATACAATACGTATTACGTGCTTATATAATAACACTATAACTACATAAAAGATAAAATACGTATTAGTTAGCAACGTTTCCGTTTAAGGACATATATATACATAGCAATATAGCCACTGGCGCAAGTGTTATTGAGACTGATTTCGACTTATGCGACGACAATGGTTACGACGATAATAGTATAACTATAACAGTAAAACGCAATAATATTATTATAATATTATAGTACGCACTGTCCAAAAATGTGAACGTCGAAAACCGAATGTGGTCGGAGTGAATGACGTATGTGTACGATATTGTGATAATAAAACACTATCGCCGGAAAATGTTTGTACTGTGCAATTTTTAGCTTGACAATCTTTTCTGTAGGTAAGTCATAAGTTTTGAGTTATAATCAACAAATATTAGTAAATTTTTGACCCTTTATTATATTTTCAATAATTTCTCCACTATTGCTATTTATATTTATTGTAAATTACGTAAATTTAGAATTTAAAATGTACCTATGTCATAAAACTTAAAATATTTTTAAGTTCATGTGCACACTGCACATACCGTAATCATTGAACTGAAAAACTTATAGATTAATTCATTGAATTAATTAATTTTTTATTTTAATAAGTTTTTAAAGATTAAGGTTGTGGTGGAGATTACATGTAATGTATATTTATTTTTTGGGTGTGGCGCATATTATTACATAACATAGGCACGTTTTTATTGGTTCATTTTTTGGCGAAAATTACATTCACCGATCATGTGATAATGCGTACCAAACGGCAAGTTCCCATTTAGGTTGGTTTGGGATGCAAGCAAAAACAATTTTAGTGCACATTTTATAACTATTGATTTCTGTTGTCTGCAGCAGAACCTACGCAAACATTGCAAACTACGTGAAGCGATTAATATTTAAATATCATTCAAACATGAAATAGACATATTCTCGACTAGGATATACTATGTTATATAATTATAATATTATGTAATTTAACGTACTTCCCAGAAATTTAAGGGAGGTGGTATTAACTTACCATACAGTTTAAAAGCACATAACGAGCTCCTCATGTTACATCAACACAAACAATTTAATATTGTTCACACTATGTGAGTCAAAATAATTTAACTATTTAACTTCCAATTTTAAATTATATTATTATTTTATTATCAACGCATATATAATAAACATATTTTAAGTCATTTAAAAATAATAGTGTTGCCATTTTGATTAAAATATAGATAGATACAATTTCTCATTGATCATACATATACTTATGTAACTATGTAAGTACCAGAGGCATAGAAAACGGCCCGTTCAATTTACCTGCAAACTCAAATTTATTATCCATTGAGACTATTAAAATGTTGTTATTAGTTTTCGTCAACCCAGTGTCGTTACATATACATATTTATAATACTTTATTTATTCATTCAGATTTCACTGAGAGATTATAATACTTTAAGTATAAATAAATCATTTGTATAATATACTGATTCGTTTAGAATTTAAAAATCAGAAAATTTAATAGTACTTTGTTACAATTTGTTTTTACATAAAAAGTTATTTTCAACAAAACTGTAAAAAGCATGAAAAAAAACATCATTCAAAGATTGAATAATACTAAATTAAAATAAATCCTTATCGGTTTAATTCTCTCCCTCGGCCTCTTCATACATTCTGTAATAACCATTTATTTTTCAATCAATATTATATTATTAACTTATTTTAACCTACAATTAAAATGGCCCTTAAGTATATACTTATAAAAAAACGACATGTAAGCCTATAATGTATTTTAATTAAATACTTATTTGTACAAATAAAATTATATAAATACTAAATATATTTTTATGATAAATTTATATTACTATTGAAGTCAATTATTTTTATTATTAGTAATGCAATAGGTTAAATTAATTTTGCCAAAAATATCTTTTTTTGTAAAAAAACATAATGATATATCTACGATTAAAATTTAAAGTATTACTCAAAATAATTATTATTTTTGATTTATAACAAAATAACTTAAACCATCGATCTTTGTTTAAATATCTAATTTCGTCCTAATTTGATCATAAAATATTTATAAAGAAACTGTATTTATATATTTTTAAAATTTTTAATTTCAGTATGAATAATTCACGAGAAAACTTTTGTTAAATTTTCAAGTTTTATGATCTAAAAAAAATGTTGAATTTCAAATACGTGATGTCTATAAATAGCTAACAAAAAGAACTTTGTAAATTATACCATGTATATAAGAAGTAATAATTTAAAGGTTTTGTTAAAATGTCTAGTATCTACAGTTAATCAGTTTCGAATTACAACATTTTCATATGCGACGCTGAATGGTTACTAAATACCCTCTGTAGATTGAAACTATTATTTAAAATAATATTTCAATTGCCTAATTTACAAGTTCAAAATATTTCGGCAAATCAATGGTGGATATTTGACTCAGGACAAGTGTTATGGTTTTTTTTTAACGAACCTTGAATGACGAACTTATTGAATACCCGATGGAATTTGGTGCCAGCGTAAGTTCGGCCGTTTATACCTTCTGTCAGAATGGTGATAAAGTTAGTCACCGTTTTCGGTGCAATTTCACCAAAAAGACCGATTTCAATCGTACCCAACTCTGTTCCAGCTACCTCCACATCCAAGTATGCCACGTCGGTCACCGTGAACGTCTGGAGGTCCTATACATAATTATAAATATACATAAATTTATATAATATATATGTTTTTACGAAATATATCAAACTCTGTCAACACGAATTGTACCGCGTGCCGACTTCCTACATCAATGCAAGTGAATGTAGGGATGCATTTAGGTCTACAATCAGTGTTAGACAAATAAAGTACTACTAATAGATGATTTAAGTTTAAAGCTATAATTATAGTTGTTAAAAATTGATAAAATTTAATAATAATTATTTATTGAAGTTTTCGATACTAAATGAAAATAAAATGATGATGACTACATCATTGATATGTTTAAACAAAAATTGTTTTACTGCAAAAAAACTAGTTAGAGAAAATTCATGCATGGATTAATAATTTAACATTGTTTTTGATTAATTTTATTTTACTTTAAACTATGTATATAATATTTATAAATTTTTATCTTTGGTAAATCATAGTTTTTTTCTCAATACCAAAGAATCGCCAACTGTATACAATTTTAATACATAAATTTACTCTCATCAGACAGGCAAGTAGCATAACTTTTAAGTAAAAGTAGGTACTTTATTGGGTCGAAAAATCAATAATAGGTTAACTAAAAAATTACTTTTTAATAAAAAAAATTGACTTCTATCATTATGCATCACAAAAAAATTGATACTATTTTTTAATATAACAATTATTTACAATAATACATTATTATGCATAATATAATGTATGCATAAATGATATATTATGAAATTAAAATTAATAAATTAAATTATCACAGTAAAATAAAATTAATAAATTATTTTATACTTTTTACTATACAATTATCAAAATAAAAAAAATGACGTCAAATAATAATTATAATATTAATGTTTTATTGGTCTGTGATTGTATATATACTAATTTACATTCCTACGACCCGCACTGTAGCAATTTAATTACTTTCAAAAAATACTCGTCGAATAAACGTTTTGAATTATTGTTATCAAAATTAAATCATCTTAAAAAGTTAAAAAAAAAAAAATAACTTTTGAATTCGTTGTTGCCCGGATAATAATTATTACTCTGCAGACTTTATAGTATCAGAGTACATGATTATACCGTCTCCGTCGTCTATCAAGTGATTAGACTTATAATAATTAAAGCATAGAAACTAACAAGTTACTTTTACCACGAAAAAATCGTGTTCAATTCAAAACACACAATTGTTGCACTTTTAACATATTATGATGGTACAATTATGTGTTGTGGCGGCAATTTGTCCGAGCTTATACAACGATAGGCGAGCCGAAAAACGGTGACTGCCAGCACCGGAACATCAAACATACATACTATATGATATAATATTATTATGATGGTCAGCTAGAGGGTAAAAGGGAATAAGTAATTATTTATATTTATATTTTGAAATCGAAAAATGTGCCAGATCAATTTTTAATAGATCATCGTGATCCATAATATACTATGTTGTATGTTGTATTAATCTAGCATGATGGTCACCCGCCTAATTTTCCTTCGACTGAAGCTTTCATTAAAATAAAAAGTACTGATTTTTAAAATGTTTAGGCGCATGCAGTTTTAACGACCATATTATTTCCAAGTACGCACATTGATTTGTTTAAATGTGTGCTAACATCATATTCGTCTTAACACTTGTTAACTCTTAACTTTACAAAATTATAATTTATAAACTCGTTTGAAATTAAAAAAGTGTTACGCTTTTAGTACCTATATAAAATTAAAATTATTGGTAATAATTAGAGCCCAGAAATTGATGATCTAAAAATCTTTAACTTGATCTTTGACTTATAAACATCAAAAAATGACTTAAAAATTATCCTAAAAATACCAAAAAAAAAATATTTTCAAAAATTACGTTTTTTTTTTTTTTTAAATAAATTATCAAAAAATCATCGTTTTTAAATAAATTTTTTTAATCATTTATTATTTTATTTATCTGAATTTAAACAATGCTAAAATTTCTATACTTTTATTATTTTTAGAAAAATAATTGAAAGATTGGGCTGTACAATACGTTAGTTTTTTCAAATATTTAGTTTTGCCAAAATAATATAAAAGAAAAATGTAAAAAAAATTTACCAAAATCAGTAAAAAATGATCGTATAACCAAAAATTACTAAAAAATGGTTTAATTGAATTTTACATGACATAATTCACATTTTTGTAAAGACAAGTCTCGTATAAAAGCATTAGAAAAAATATGCAAATGCATCAAGTTCCAAGCCCAAGTAATAACTAATAAATATTCAAAAATTGTAAAAAAAATATAATTTTTTTTCCAAAATGTTTATTTGCTGTGACAACAGAAGAGTCATAACTTTTTAAAATAACGATAGTGTATAGACACTCAAACGAATCACTTTGCATAATAGAGGTTTATTATAATATTTTAAAATTGAAATCCAGCGGAACTTGAACATAAAGATGAGAAGCTGTTTTGATGAGTGGTCAAAAAATGTATAGTCCATTTAAACAGCTCTCTTATACCGTTTGGATGAATGAAATTATTTTTGTCTTCGTTAGCAATACCTACGGAATTTAATGCGTATTAAGTGTTTATTAATCGTTTACAGTACATTAATATACTACAATATCTATATGACAATATAATATATTCTTGAAGTGCTTACAATATACATAACTACTAATAATTAAGAATTTATATATTGTATGTGTTTTTTTTTTTTTTTTTTTTTAATTGATGATATATATTAATATACAGTTTATTATAAATTGATTTGCGTATAAAACTGTCATATTCGTTCGCCTAAAACCGTATTTTCGCCGTATTTTCGGTGGAATGAACGAGAGCCCGGAACAGACCACACTCGCCGATTGGCTCCAATGATCGACGCCGGACATTTTCCGCAAAACGAGAGTTTTCGCCAACAATATACTTACGGTCGCATGGCATCCGCCGTCGACGATTGCCACCAACGCGCACACGACCGCAGGGAAATTGAAAACCATCGTTCACACACACGCAGAGAGACGACCCGCACTGAAGGAGACGACGGTAAAATAATTAATATTATTAGTCTGTACGACGTGTGCTGAACAACTGACGTGACCGAATGCGGCCGTGTAACGCAGGTTATTTGTACAGGGCGATTATCGTTTTTCTACGGATTCCTCTATTATATGTTTCCACCGCGGGGGTAGAATTACAGCGATTGGGGTACTAACCACAAGTCACTATCATCATAGCAAAAACGAAAACAACAATAACAATAACACACGTAGGGCACGTACACGTAATGCAGCAGGACTATATTTTATTACAATGTTATTATATTTATATACTTTAAACAGTCTATAGTAAAAACATCAAACGTTTTCGTTTCCATAATAATAGTAATAATAATTATATCATAAAATAAGAACGTAATAATAATAATAATAATAATAATAATAATAATATCGCGCTGTACAATATATAATAATATAATATACGAGGATGGATATTTTTATATATAGTTACCGCTTATAACATAAATACTACTTTAACTCGTTAGAATAATAATAATATGATATTATGTAGTAATAATGACAATATGTTAGAAATATAGGTGTTGATTACTCTGAACAATATTAACTAAAAATAATAATATAATGCAAATAATAGTAAATAAAGAAACAAAACAAATACAATATATATATAAATGAAAACAACGTCTGGAAATGATATCTCTTTAATAAATTGTTTAATTATTCAGTTAAAAAAAAATATATATATTTATATATATTAAAAGTTAAAACATGATCGATTCTAATATAATATGCCATATTGCATGCGTATCGTAACGACACACATGGAAACGGTGGTATATTATAATATTTAAATTTTACAGTAAACATATAGATAATAATAATAATCATTACCATCATCGTAATAATAGTTAATTTAATATTATTTGGAAATGCAAACGAAGAATATTAGAGTCGTCGTTTTTCAGTGATCACTGTTTGTATAGGTACAGTTTGCAACAAGTTGTCCGTCAACGTCGTCGTTATAATATATTATGCGTATAACAATATTATATTTATATAGGATCGCCATCGTTGGCCGCAAGTCGTTAGCATATTATACGTTAAAATAATTATAAATGATGATGATGATGATGATAATAATAATAATAATAATAATAATAATAAAAATAGTAATAATAATAATAATAATCATATAATAATAATAATCAAAATAATAATGTTAATAATAAAAATTTAATACAACAACCGTAGGATTTATCGGTCGACTGCGCGCGTTATATGCACGTCACCTAAGTGACGGTGGCCGTCTTGGCGTTTTCCGTGTTGCACTTGTACTCGGCGCTGTTCCGGCAGTAGTACTTTTTGTGCGCGATGAACGTGGACAGATAGTTGAACGATATGTCGCACGCCTTGCAATATTTCGCGGTGATGCCGGCCCGCTTGTTGCCGACGGCGGTCTGCAGTTGCAGTTGCGGCGGCGGCAGTTGTTGCTGCAGCAGGTCGTCGGACGCCGCGGCCGGCTGTTCGCTCTGTGGACGGTAGCCGCCGGTGGTCGACTCGTCCGCCGACGGTGCAGCCATGCCGTTGACCGGTTCCTGCTTGATGGTCACCAGCTCTTTTGGCTCGTCGTCCACGACGACGATGGCGGCCGCGGCTGTGGACGACAAAGACGACGACGGCGACGGCGACGATGACGACAAAGAGGCGGTGGCGGCGGCGGCGGCGGTGGCAGTCTTAACGAGGACGGTCGACGGTGCAGACGGCTTGTCCGTGGAATCCGAAGTCGTCGGCGTCTTGGCACGTCCGTCGACCATCGATGACGCCGAGTTCTCGTCGATCAGACACGTCACGTAATCTTCTTCCTGCACGGACAAATGTTTCAAACACTTTACATAATGTTTCAATAGTGGCGAGTATAAGAAAAATCAGGTCCGGATTCAAGGTTAATATATATATATAGTTGATTTTTTTTACTTTTGAATAAAATATTATTTGATTTTTGTATTGTTATTATGACGTGTGTGTTAGATAGGGGTACTTAATGACCAGAAAATAAATCACTCTTAAATAAAAAGAAATGTTAACAAGGGGTGGCAAAAAAAAGAAATATTGATGGTGTTGGAGTAAATCTATCTGTAAGTTTCACGTTAAATACACGTAAATTAATAATTTTTTAAGTGATTCTATTGTTTTAAACATACAAATATTTAGTAATTCAATCATACGATGTTCTGAATTTTTTTATTGTAAATTTAGTCGCTAAACAGTAATTTAGCAACTAATTAAACAGGTAGGATGATATAATATTGTATAATAATACGAGTATTATATAATATATCATTGAAAAAACAAAGCGCTCGAAAACGGCTTAGGGACTCACCATGAGATCCGGAATCATACGTTTGTTGAAGTGCATGCGGATGTGTGTTCTGAGACCCCTGAGTGTGTTGCCCTTGTACTGGCAAATAGTGCATACGAACGCCCTTATGCCGTTATGATTGTCCAAATGTTTTTGAGCAGCCGACGCGCTTGAGCACACGGCGCCGCACACCGGACACTTCCAACAGTTGGCTGGTTGACATTGGTGATGATGTGTCCCGTCGATGTTCATCTGCGGAAAATGTTGCAATTAAAACATATATAATAGTTGCACGTAGTTATAGTATAAATGTATAATCCAATATACTCTAATGGGTTATTATTTATTTCTATTGCAGTAGTCAATGAGGAGTCTGTGAAATCTTAAATCTTGCTCTATATATATATCAGAAATCAACAAGAGCCATTTTATAAATTTAGAAAATTTTGAGAAAGATTATACATATATTTGTTCCAAGGAAGTAATAGAAAAATTAAAAAATTAAACGAAAATTAATGCATTTAATTCACCATCAAAAAAAAAAAAAAAAAATGCATTGTCTTGCTGGCCTGCAATTAAAGGTCCTCCAAGGGTCACCATTAATTGATGACTCCCAGCTCTACACGGGTGCTGGGGGGGCTAGTCCCCCTCTTTATCCACAAAGATCTAACCCGAGATTGACACACTTACTTTGCACTTTGGACATTTTAACGGCAGTGCGAGCGGCGCCGCCTTATTTTCAACAGGTTCTTGCAGCGCCACGGCAGTTCTATTCGGGCAGTAGAAAGTCTGATGCGTGGTGAGGTTATCGAACGACGAGAACTTGACGCCGCACGTGGAGCATATGAACTGGATCATAGGTGGCTTGAGCACTGGCGTGGGGCTCGCGCTGTCCTTGGACGACTGCGGCGACGACACCGTCAGCGGCTTGGGTCCTGGCGATCCTTCGGGGCTCGTCTTGTCCGCGTCACCGTCCCCGCCATCCGGGGGTGGACGGGACGCGCAGTAGTGCTTCTTGTGCGCCAGGAAATTCTCGTACTTGCAGAACACAATGTTGCAGCTCTCGCACTTGGACGGGCCCTGTTTCAAGTAAAACTGATGGTGCGCGGGAGGCATGCCGCCACCGTCTTGCGTCGAGTTCGAAGTCAGTCGGAGCGTCATGTCAGGCGTGAAGTACGGCAACATGGGGGCCGGGTTTAGGAGTTCACCAAGGCCGCGCGACTGGACGCCGGGCGGCATCGGGGCCACGACGGCCGAGGACAATATCGATTTGTGCATCACGCTGAACCTTTGATGCGCAGCCGGCATGTGGTGCAACGCCGCGTGATGCGGCGGCTCACCGTTGTTGGTCGGTTCCTGTTTGACGCCGTCTTGCATTCGGCCACTCGGCGCGTGCAACAGACTGGACACGCTGAACTTTCCACCGTTCCGGTCGGTGCCGTCGTACACGGCCGTTACCGGAACGGACTTGCCGCAATGCTGTACCATGCCGTTAGTCGGCGGCTGCAGCGGCAGCGGGTTGTGGTTGCGAAGGTGGTGGTGCTGCTGTTGCTGTTGTTGCTGCTGCTGTTGCAGTTGCTGATTGTGGTGGTGGTTCACTCCGAGTCGGTGTTGTGGCGTCTTGCTGCCGCCACCGTCGCCGCCACCGGATGTCGGAGAAGACGACGGCGACAGTATCATGCAAGGAATGGATGGCGCGCACACTATGTCCTCGGCGTCAGTTACGTTACCGTCGCTCCGTCTGTTCTCCTTTTCCTCTTCACCGTCCGTGCAGCCGGCAGCGTCCTGCGACGACTTGGCCGCGCGCTTCAGTCGCAGGTCAAGCGGCGACGACGGTTGCGCTGCCGGTCTCATTTTCGTCTCCGGGCTGATGGACTCCGCTTTTTTGGGCTATAACAATAACCATAATGTTCGTCGATTTTAAACATACTCAAAACACAGAATACATTTTAATATTATAAAAAACAGTTGTAAATTTGTTATTTTCCATACACCTGTATGGGCTATATGCCATACATCAGAGGTCCCGTTATGCCGAATAATATTAAGGGAAATAAAAAAAATGTTTGATACAGAGAAATTCGAGATGTTGAATGTTATTCTAATAGCAATTTCAAAGGAATTGAAATTAGGTTCGAGACAACGAAAAATTTGATATAGTTAGAATCTTCTGTACAGGGCTGTGAACTGATAAATAAAACAAAACAATTTATATTAAATATGCATGTTCTTGCGTGTTCATTAAAAAATTTACGAAATAAGATATCATAAGACTTTCAAAATATTTAAACTCTTGCAATTTAAAAATGAAAAGAAAAAATAATTTTTAAATATTTAAAAACATGATATTATTAAATTCAAAAATATTAAACAATAAAAAATAATATAATTTTTATAAGAGTATTTTACAACATAATTTCTAAAATATTTCAATATAAAAAAGCTGATAAAATGAGAATATTTGGAGACAATTTGCAAACATACGCAAAACAATGTGTTTATAAATTGGTGTATGCGTTCCTTTATAGATATATAATATTATATTATATAGCATAAAAATAGTGTAAACAAAATTTTGATCGAAATTGACTCTTTTTATAAACATCAAAAACTAATTATGAAAAGAAAAAAAAATGTAATACTAAATTGGCTAAACTGAAATAAACAAGTTTATGATATAATTTGTTTAATATTCAGTATTAGCACTTTTCTCTTAACAATGGGTAAATGTATAGTTGTATAGTAATCCAAAGTTGCTAGTTTTAAACTTTATTCTGAATACAATCCAAGTCTAACATTAACTCAATAGTGAATATATTACACACATTCGCCTACTAATTTTTTCCGTCATCGCCGCGAGTATCAGTGCAGAGTATAATATGAGATACAATAAATTCACGAATATAACAGTTTTTATCAATTACTTACCGGTGAATAGAATTCTTCCGGCGGAGACTGCGAGTGGGCTCTTTGTATATTGTCGTTGTTAGCAATCATGTTGAATTTAGTGGGCACCAGCGCCTGGGCAATGGGCTGAAGCGTGCCGTCGGATAGGACGATGCATGCGGTATCGGTAGGCGGAGACGGGCCTATGTCCGCCGATAGGGCAGATAGGACGCTTGCATTTTGTACGAGTGTGTAAGGAACTACGATGACAGGATTAGTGGGCAGTGCCAGGTAAGTGGGCACCACGCCGGTGGGCGACGGGTTGTTAGGCATAGGCGAACTGGACGGGGTTGGCTTGACCACGTGCCGTGTGTTGCAATAATGCGTCTTATGCGCCTGGTACGTTCGCAGGTTAGAGAACCGGATGTCACAGTTCTGGCAGTACCGGTCCACCACCGATGGGTCAGCATTGTCCGACGGACACGGCGGCGATTGCACCAACACTGGTGATATGGAATGCATACGCATGTGCCTGTTCAGACTCACCTGAAACGAATTGAAATTTTACATGGAGGTTTCGAAAGTACTCAGAAAGAACTTAATATATGTATATGTATAAGTGTACTATATGGAGGTCCACAGAAAACTTATAAAAAAGGGTCTTAATAAAATCAAAAAGTGCAATAAAAAAAATAAATCTATACTAAAGTTAGAATATCAATAAAATGTTTATTCAAGCAATAATATAGGTAAAAACTTTAACAATAGTTGAAGTCCAGGAGAGGAATGTATAGTCTTTCTCCCTTCCCAGGCGCCCAAGTATACCATCCAATTAACTTACTGCGGTTATACATTATTATTAATATGGCCGGGGCTTATTATTATGACTTTAAAACTCTATAACGCTATAATCTGTACTTATAACAATATGTCCAAAAAACATCAAAGTATGCCCTTAAAACAATATCAAATATATGATATTACAAATAATTAATTCTTGTTATTTAAAAATAAACTATACATTTTGAACATTAATCATTTTTAACAGTTTAATACAATATGAACGTAAAGGCATATTATAAACTAAAACTATAAAGTACTCTACGTGGTGTAAATTTAATAACAATATTTCTAGAGATTAACTATAATTTTAAAAAAAATTTTTAAAATCTAAAATTTAAAAAAAAAAAGAACTAAAAGATGTAAACAGTTTACAAAAAATTACCTATATACTATAAAAAATGTCATATTATAATAAGTAGGGCTGTACAATTAATGCATTAGAAAACCTTAAAATATGCGTTAAAAATGTCAAAAAATGCAATAAAATATGCACTTAAAATGTCAAAAAATGCAATAAAATATGCACTTAAAATGCAAAATATGCAATATAAAATGCTAAAAATTATAGTATAAAATACACTTAAAATAGTTTTTGATTTAATTTTTATATTTATATTGATATAAAAAGATATTATAAATTTAGTAGGTACATTACATTTTATATGTATAAAAATGTTGATTTAATTTGAATTTTGTATAGTACTATTCACCTAAAACATTTTTTAATATTTTTTTTTATGTATACATTTTGTTAATAATTAGGTTTTTAAAAATGTTAATAGACAGAATTTAATTAAAAATATCGGAAAATGAACTAAAAATAAAAATATGACCTAAAAAATTAAAAATGTTCAAAAAAATGCAAAATAAAAGTTTCATAAATGGATTTGTTGTTACATAATTCAAATTGTGTACTGACAAAGCTACGTTTCACAATCGCCCAAAAGAAAAAAAAGCACTTTCCTACAAATTCACAGCCCTAATAATAAGTAATATGTAAAATAAAATTTAAATTAACTGTCACTACTCGTATCAAACGGAATTAAAATTCACTCTGCAATCAATTAAATCATGAGAATAAATACAAACAAGTTGTTTTTAGTAAAACTTATAAAACTCTAAAAATATTTAAATGTGCTGTTTTTACTGATAATATGTACCCAACTATGCATTTTAATTACAGGAATATTTTATCATAGATTTCGTCTGAGATATATTTTTGAAACTGTATTTGATTATACATACATGTTATGCTAGTATGATGTATGTACAGAGTGATTCCTTATTCTTGAACTAGGAAATATTAATAATAATAACTAAGGGTATAAAAAAGGATTTTTATTTATTTTAGAAAAAAGAATTGGTAATTGTAAAAAAATGTAAGATAGTGTGTTTTTAAACGTAAAAAAAAAATCATTCAAAATGTTATCGATTTTTTTTTAAATATTGCCTGGTTGACGATTAAAGAATCACCCTGTATACGTGTATAATATGTATATAGGTTCTTTTTTCATAAAGATATAGTTTTCCAATTTTTACAACAGTTGTATAAAAAGTATTACCTAATATTAATCGTCAACCACCACAGTATTTTCACACCATGTTTTAAAATGTAAATTTAATTTGTGAATTATAATTGAAACATAATATCGAAAAAGTTATTCAGCGATTTAAAAACATGTGACTTGTATATTTTCTATTACGTTGAATATTTTAAGTATTGATCGATTGGATATATATGAAACGTTTGCTAATATACCTATAATCTCATGCAAAGTCATCATGTTTCTGTTAATATTAAAATCGAAGATGATACCACCCAAAATATTGTTTTCTCTTTTACACTCTTTACTAAGTAAAATCCAGTTTATTAAAATAAAAACAGATATTCTTAGAGAATAACGAATATATATTGATAATTTTATAAAACGTGTAAATAGTAATACTTAATAAACTATGATCTTGTGTAATTATATTAATATCTCCAAACGTATATAAACAAAGTAAATTATATTGTTGTATTATGATTTATAACTATAATAGCCACTTAAATTAATATATTAATTTGTATGAAATAAAATATTAATTAATTGATTTAGGTATTTATATATAAAATAAAATCAAAAAATATTTGTATTTTGTATATATATATATATATATATGTATAAGAGAAAAAAAATGTTCACTGATGTATATGTTTTGTAGTATGTAAATGACTGTTGTAATATAAGCTTTAACTTTTAAGCCTTCAGTTTTGGATTTACCAAACGGGATTTTACAACGTTATTAAACGTGCGTGAGAAACCAAGATAACAGATCTTGGCATGTCGTCACGTATTTTATTTATCTTTAATATATTTTCATTGTTTTCATTTCATTTATGCGAGTATTTCATAATTATTTTCGGGTCTAAAGAAATCGTATCTACAATACTATAGTATATAATACTGTCTAGCAGACAGTACTTTTGAAATTATTACAACTAAAAAATACATGGCACAGCATTACTATTGTCTAAAATATTTATATTTGTAAATTAGTATTAAAATATCTATACATTTAACCGAGATAAAAAAATAAAAAAAACCTTATTCTGTTCGTTACACAAATAGGGGTATTTTAATTAAATTGTTATCTACCATCAGTTTATATTTTTTCTATTATTCATATTGTATTAAAGGTAATTAATATCCTACCCATAATGGTATGAATATTATAATATTTAGCTGGTAACAATATTAAATATATGTTTACTATTTACCTCTCTTAATAATACTATATACCTAGCATTCTGTAAAAAATAACATCTGTATAATATGTTAACCTGAATTTAAAGTTTAAATGTAAAATTATTTTGAGCATAATTTTGCCTAAATAGTAATGTATTGTATAAACGAAACAATACGTTTGTATAATCAATTCATTAATTTATAATACCACATGATTTTCCAAATTTATATTATTATTACATGAAATTGATTCAAACACTTTTAGTTTATTCGTAATTTGCATTTTGTAACATAACATTTTTAAAACCATATAGATTTAATTCAATCGAATTTTTATTTATTATGCTGTATAAATACGTGAATAATATTACAATATTACAGCATTTCGTAAAAAACAAATAAAAATAATTTTAAATTTTACTATAAAATTAGCCTGAATTTTTTTAACAAAATCAGGAATATTGTTGGATATAGGTACGTTGCTCTAAAATGTACACTCGCTATTACTACGGTCTACGGTAGTAAATGTCATTTTTACACATTATTAAAATAAAATTATAAATTTATATGACAAGAAATTTTTTAAAATGTATAAAATCTGTACATTCTATCATTTTAAAGAAGTTAAATTAAAATGTAGTTATAACAATTTATTATTATTATTATTATAAGTTATAATTATGTGTGTAGTATATTAATTTATCATCGAATAATTAATCAATCATAATCTCGTTTATAAAAGTCATGTTGGATCAAGTCTAAAAATAAATAGACACATACTTTTTTATCGGCGCTGTATGAACAGTGAGGGCACTTGTACTGTTTGCCCGTTCTCATCGACTTAGCGGACGGTTCGACAGACGACGGACGGCTGTCTGTGTCGTTGCCCAGGGTCACCTCATCGGGCTCGACGACCATCGGTAATTTGACATCGTCCGATTCTGAATCTGTCGATAGTAAATATTTAATCATATAAATACATATTGAAATAATATTATACGCAGTAGGGTGGCAATCTAGTAATTCAGTCATCTTTTTATTTTCAATAATAATGAGATTATAAAGCTCGATGGCGTATCTGGGAAACTATATAACTGTTCCCGAAATTTTAGAAAAATGTAAAAATATATTCAGAGTCATTTGAACGGATAATATGTAAACCATAATCATGTATTAAAATAAATTTAAATTTGTTCTAAAATTACTAAAAAATCTAAAATACTTAGTTAAGCTTCTTTCATGAAACATATTATTTCTTCCCCTCAATCAATAAAATCTTGACTATACCACTGAACGTTTGTAAAACCTATAAACTCAACTGACAATCCTGATAAGCTTGATACATATTTTATTTAAGAAAACTGTAAGAGAATGCGATTAGGAATATTCATACTGGGAAAAAATAGAAATAAAACATTAGATGATTACAACGATAATAATCACGGAATGTAATATATTATTATGATTTATGGGTAATATTTTTATGATACTAAAGATATCTATACTATACTACATTATTTTATTATACAGAATAATAACAATATGTATGTAGTGTATAAGTAATTTAATACTTTTTAAATTCTGGGTGAAGCTAGAGAAGTAATGATTTTACAAAGAAACTTATTTTTTTTTTTTTTTTTTTTTTGAGAACCATTTTTCAAGCAAATGACTTATTTTGATTTTCGTTTGGTACATGAGTACATGTTTTCCTGATAATTATAGATTATAAATTACAATATTTTACTTTATTTTGCCCCTCTATTTCTCTAAAATTATTGTTACACACATATATTATTATTACTAATTCCTACACACAAATTTACACAATATGCATACGCTAGAAAATTGCCTATATTTAACTCCTTAAAAACATAATACAGTAAAACTTCTAAACACCGGACACTCTATCAATTCTGTTCGCTATTTAGAGATGGTATCTAGGTAATTGAAAAATAAACAATATCAAAAAAAAAAAAAAAAATATACACATTTGTATACACGAATATACTTATACATATTATTACTTAAAAAAAATTAATTACTCAATGAGACGGGAATTTCGGCCATTTCTTACGGATAAGATAAACTATAATAGTAAAATAATGTGCGAAAATTAAAAATGTACATATAATAAAATGCACTTAGATAATAATAATTAATAACAATAAAAACTATCAAAATCTAGCCATAAAAATATCCGCTTTTTAAAGGTGGTCCGTTAAGGAAGATTTCCCTGTATGTTGAATACATAACTTTACATGTGTAACATACCAAAGATCGCTAAGATCCGTTTTATATTGAATGAAATTTTGAAATACAACCATTACTCAATGATCTATTTGATGATAGATACACTTAATTACTAAATACCAAATTGAGTTCCCCAGTTTTTAATTTTTAATCTATATATTCTAATAATGTATACTTCTATAGTCTTATACTCTTATATAATATCTTGAAATATCGATGCAACTCTACCGTACCTACTACAAATTCGGAAGATTCGATAAATATACAAAGACTTCGAGATTGCACTGCGATGCAGCAGGTCTACAACAAGTGCATTCGACGAATTTCTAAGATCTCGAATCGTTTTTTACATAATACAATATTATTACCTTTTTTGTGTCTGCGTGAACAATAGTACGTCTGATGGGCGTCCAGCGTGCTCAGTGAACTGAATCGTATCCCGCACGGGTTGCAAATGAATATTTGTATCGCTGCAAACAAACACACCACAGATTAAATAAAATGTCGTGAATGATTCGATTTATGATAATAATAATACGTAATAATGATGATGATAACAATATGTATGGTTATCCGGCACAAGCACGGATGACTGAATACAATGATATTCAGGTGCCATTTCAAGACAGAGGTTTTTTCTAATTATTAGTCATTTCACCCCAAAAACAATAAAACATCGGTATGTCTATATAATTATCAGTTTTTACATAAAGTATAACATTATATGCATATATTTACTTTGAAATTTTACATTTGTAGATTATTCTAAATAATAATAATATTTTTATTTTTATAATTCTTATTGTTGGTTAATTTAGAAACAGTATATATTATTTTTATATTATTGATATGTTAACAAAAAATCTCATTTTTCTCTGTTTTTTTAATTGTAAATTCTACTTGAGCACTTATAGTTTAAAATATATCAACAATTTGTAAACTAATTTTAAAAACAATTAATTAAGAATATGATAAATCACTTTGATAAAAAAAAAAAAAAAACAGTGAACAATTTGACCTAGAAAATTAATGTACCGGGTTAGATATACCTGTGTATAATACTATAATATGTATATATCTATACATATATAGGTAAGGATTATTTTTATTTAATATACTCTGTACTTGACCAAAGTATCATGTTACTCTATATACATATACTATATAGGATGTCTATGCACATTTTGTTTGTCTTTTTATACCCACATACATAGGTAAGTAATATATAATATAATTTTCTATACAACTTATACTGCATAAATTTAAATAATGAAAATCAGAAACTTAAAATTTTAAAATATGTACCTTGATAAGTAAACATATATAAATTGACTGGAAATAATACTTTAAAAAATATTATTAATTTTTAAATGCTCCAGTCTGGCTGGCAATACCAATAGAGAAAAAATTAAAAATTAAGTCAAATCAATTTTATATTTCAATGATTTCAAAGATCTTTTTATTATTATTTGTAAAAACTGTTCAATTGTAAAACAACTACTCAGGATACACTTTTAGTTGAAAATCCCAAAGTTATACACTACAGTATACAATATTTAATTTTTTTTGATTTCATAAATTAAAAAAAAATTATTTAAGTTTGAAAAATACAACAATAACGCATTTTCAAACAATAATAAATTTTTCTATTTATTATCATGATAACCAAAGCTTTTTAATATTATAATCTCATACGTAATAACACAACAGTCAACAATAAATGGGTCTCACACTTTATAAGTTACTTTAAATTTATTTTTAAGTATTCTCAAGATGAATTTGAATTTATTCTCAAAACTGTATTAACATTTCCATTATCAAACTCCTTAAAAAACGCGGGGGTTTTTTTTAAAGGGGTTTTCGAAACAGTATACATAGGTATTTAAAAATATATATTGGCTATATGAATACCTCTAGGTGCGGTAATAGTAACTACGTTGTGATTAGACTCGCCGATCGCCGACGATGACAGTGACGACGACGAAGACGATGAAGACGACGATTCCGAAGATGAAGCAGCTGCAGCGGCCGTTACAGTCGCTGATGGTGGCGGTGGTGGTGGCAGTGGAGGCGGCTGTGGCGGTGACGGCTTGTCTGTAAGCGACCATCTGGCTGGATCAGTGGCTAAATTCGGATTAAGTCTTAACGTTGAGTGATGGTCATTGGAGGGTGGTGGCTCTTCCGGTTCTTGTCGCGAAGACGGCGATAGTTGTTGCTGTTGTTCTGTTTTTACCTCACATTTTACTGTCGCGTCACTATCACTGACCACTTCATCGTTTGTGGTCCATTCGCTATCTTCGCCGGCTGCGAAATTATAAAAAATAAACAGTTAGTAAGAAAAACAGACTAATTCACATTTATATTATTATACATAAATATCATTGGTCATTTGTTGGGGGTTAGATTATACGCTTATTTAATATTTACGATTGTAAATTTTATTTCATATAATTCATCTCTTTTTATAACACTGAAATCTTATATTTAGCTAACAGAGAAAATTCCATCATCCGAATAAGTTCTCTAGATGCTCAATTATTTTACGAGTGAATATTTATACGTATAGTTTTATCAACACAAACTGCCTTCTACAGAATAGGTATAGAAACATTTAATAATCGCCAACTCCACGTCTAAATGTTTATCTTAATTTTTGCAGAAAACAACCAATCACAGTCTTATTTTCAAAAATATGCAAAATTCACACAAGAAATTTGTAATTTCTATAAATCAAATTGTTGATTGAATATTCGTTTATAAGGTTTATATAATCATATTATTTAACTTCGCAAATTATACCTATACAAAATCAGTCAGCTAATTTTAATAAAACTGAATGCGTAAACTGTGTAGGTAGCGCAACCTTATAATAGTTATTAAATGAAAAAATTATTTTTGTTAAATTTTCTAATCATAGTTCATTTTAAGGAATTTAAAAGTTGAATATGCGTATAGTAAACTTTTTTGTGTGCCTACCTGTTTACCTACCTACCTATATATATATTTGACTTTATATACACAAACAACTTACTAAAAATCTGTATATACAAATATTTTTTGATAATTTCCGCATATTAAAATTATATTGTAATAGAGTAATATTAGATAGAATAAATCACACACAAAACCCTATTTTTACTTTTATGTTTGTTCACAAAAGCTTAATGTCAACTGTTGTTGATTTCGCGGACTTAACAATTTTCGTAGAACTAAAAAGAAACAAATATAAAAATAATGTACTAAAAGTGTTAACAGAAAATATGGGATTTGCTATTAAATTGCTTCGTTTCCGCTTTCGCTTTCGTTTCATCCGCAGTTTACACAAAATAATATACCGTATATATTGTTTAATTTTGTATATATAAAAAAAAAAAATAATAATAAACTTTTAAGCGTCTAAAAATGTATTTTTGTGTGTGATTTTTTTTAATTTCTGATGTTGATAAAAAAATGTCTCTTTTGCAGAAGAAATCGGGAACATCAAAAATTGTCTATCACAGTACAGTGTGAGAACAAATGTCCACAAAATCCATTACCGATCCGACTGTTCAACAAACCCCGCTGTACACGTGCATAATAATTAACCCGTGACTTTAACACGCATAATAATGATATAATAATCTTAAACGGGCAGCAATGAAAATAAAATAATATATTATTATTATTGTATCTACCTGTTGTACGCGCTACAAACTGTTTGGTCGACAATTAGTAAGCCGTCGATACATAATATGCATTATAATAGGTGCATGGAATACATACAAACCGCGTTGGCTATTGTCTCGAAAGTCATCCAACCGGTTTGGTATTCGGTTCGACGATGATATTTATCTATTATATGATATTTATACAAATGTTCGATACGCAAACGATAACACAAAAGTTTATCGGAATTTCCGTTTTTTTTTTCACCGTTTTAAACGACACTAATAACTACATAGTACATGATATATAATTTTATATAAATTTTTTTTTTAATAAATTGCCAAATCACGTTGTACGAGTACACGATATGCCACATTATATCTACCGAGATGGTTTATACTTATTTTTTTTTTTTACCAAACGATATTTTTCGGGTAATTTCGACGGATCGTGATTGGTTCTTAAACAATAGCCGATTAAAATTAGTGTGTGCGGCAAGGAACCTACAACATACGTTTATAATGTTATGTGTATATAGTATTTAAGATGTTACTTTAGATACGCAACGGGTAATCTAGATGATGGAAACTATGCTAGACGCCGTTAAAAATCCATGAACAACTAATTAAAAACGAATTTATGTATACGCTACATATGTGTTACTACAATATCGTTTCGAATCTATTACGTCAATAATTCAATATGAATTGTAAATGGCGATTTTCATTAAGCTAATGCGTCGTCGTGGAATTTCTTTCTTCGTAAATAATTGGAAGCCATCATTATGATCGAAATATAATTAATGAAACATTTTTGTATTTAATTTACTATACCATGATAATGAAAAAAAATATATACATACATATACCATATAGGTTCAAGTTTTAAAGTCTAAAAAGAGTTTATATCTTTACCATCATCTAAGTACATAGGCGCCTACTGGGGTTGGGAAAAGACGGGGAACTTTTCGGGACTCCTCCCCTTTTTCAAATAACAAAATAATAATACGAGTATAAATAATTAATTTAATTATAATATTATGTGGGTTACAATTTTTTTTATTGTAGTTATTAAAACGTATTTCGTTGTTTCTAGATAGTATAACAGTATAAATATTAATTATTATTTATTGAAATCGCATTAAATCTTTATTTAACTTGAATGGAGAGCAATTTTTTTATTGTTTCACACCTGAAATTTTACAAATGGATGGCATTCATGCTTTAGCCTTTCAAAATCTTTTCAGTATACAGGACAATATGAACATGTAGGTATTCGGTACTTGTATAATATTATACTTATTAATATATAATATAACTCGTTAAATCAATATAATAAAATATTTAATCAATAAATATAATAATATTATATATGTTATATATTATATTATATTATATGTCAGAATTGACATTATGATGGAGTCGACCATAACAATAAACACGCATCGTATTTATTCGTAATTTCATATAATTGATGTTATCAAATATGCAAACGTATGGACCAATTGCGCCAAAAACAAAGTTTTTGTTTAGGGTTAGTGCACCAATATTGCGTTCCTTATATTTTAGGATCAGTGTACCAATTACTCTTGTTTTTAAATTTTCCTATCTTCAAATATGAAAATATTGTTGTTCAATCTAATTCCATCAACATCGGCATAATTAAACTACACACAAAATGCTTAAAAATTAAAAATTAATTTATTGATCAATTGATTACTCGTCTAAGTGACTGGTTATAATATACTTTATAAAAGTATCGGGAATTTTATAAAACATTATTATTATACGCATATTTGATCATACAAGTATGAATTTGAGTGATAGATGAAAATAAGTTTTAATTATCGTTGGATATTTATCAGCCTAATATTGTTTTGTTGCACAATATATAGATACATGTACTATATAGGATAACACATTGATGATAGCCGTTACTTATATCTTGTTATATAGTATTAATTTGAATTGTAAAAAAGTTTAAATGTGAATTATTATGTAACTGATATAACTTTAATTTTGAATAATTGACTATATTTATTTATTTTTATTATATCATGTATTTAATATTTATACTCGCGAAACAATCGATGTGTGTATTAATTTATTATATAATTATAACTAACTAATAAGTTTTCATTAAGTATTTTAAATTTTGAGCGTAATTGGTTTATCGACTCTAAAATGTATAGAGCTTAATTGATCTATCGCTCCTAAAATATTTAGAGCAGCGCAATTGATATACCTATAAAATAGTAATTTTAAGCGCAATTAGTTAACTCCCATTGGATATATCTAGGAGAGGAGGGTTTTTTGTACCAAGCTTGTCAAATTGTTCAAGTTTTAATTTAAAAGATTAATATTTTTGCGTATAATTATTTACATTTTGCAACTGGTACCTTTTGAACACGTTTCGTAATAATATAGATAGACATAGACACCAGTAAAATGTAATCAAGGAGATTCAATACCGATCGCTTTTAAGGAATTAAAAATGTAGACTTATTTAATTATGAATAACTAACATGGCCGAGATTGAATCCCTTTAAAATACGAATTACGTTTTAAAGAATTCCGAGCGTTTAATAATATTAATGTGATGATGTACTTAAAATTATATTTTTCCTGTCAATTCGGTTATTATAAATCAGCTGAAACATTCGATACTGATGGATACATCTAGTTGATGATTGTTTTTTAATTTTTTGTAAACATGCGTATCAGCTACAATGACGATACATATATACATTATTATTATAATACATGTAGGTTGGGCACGGGTATTACACACCGAGATTAGATAACGAGCGCCGACCGTGCGATACTATACGATGCAGATAAATGTGTTAGGTACTACACAATAATTTATATATATAACAACGTATGTGATGTATTATATTGCTTGTAAGAGACGTTTAGGTTACGTTCGGTTTCAGACGTTTATTGTTTTTTAAGTGTTTGTTTATTTTAAATTATATTTTCAAACAAGAAGTATTGTTACGCTTTTGCCTTTCCCACTCTTCAACACCTGCCAAACACGGTTTTTCTTTATTTTTACTTCAAGTGTTACTTATATTGTAATTTTATTAATATTATCTACCACGCCGAACGCGTAAAGATACGGTGGACGATAAGCATTGAAATTTTAATGTTTGAAAAAAAATTAATTATTTTCCTGTTAACAGTACACGATTACAATAATAATAAAATATTAATATGCATGCAGTAATAATTCACTGTTGCGATTACCATGAATGGCACACGGGGATAAAGACCACTAACGACGACGGATACATGCGATGTGGGACGATAGGAATGCGGTAGACTGAAAAATTTTTTTTGTCGAATCAACTAAAATAAAACGTTTTGCGAAATGCACATGTAGTGCATATAATGCTTGAATAATTAAGTACGTAGCACCTCTATGAGAGTTACTGTACATTATGTTAATACTTATTACGATAAATTATTGTCATTAGCCATAAATAAACTATGCATTTTAACCTTGTACAACTGTATAAGATATATCATAGTTCAAAACGCTCTGTCATCGTTTTCGTGTTTTTATTTTTATTTTGCTAAGAGAAAACTACAGCAGCATTTATATGTGACATCCAAACGTATACATAATAGTTGCGCAGGATTAAATAATCTAAGTCT